GAATTTATGGGTTTTGGGGGGGGGGGTCCCCCTCCCGATATATGGTAGTTGACTATAGGGAATATACTGAATCTTATTTCAAAGAGCAGATTTTTTATTTAAGAAATGAGCAGACTTTTATTTAAAAGAAGGGACTTTATGGAGATGGATTCTGCATCTGTGGCAGTGGTATTACTGTCACTTTCGTGGCAGTTTTTAAAAGCCTAATACATTAAGATTCCCCAAGGAGTTCACTGTAGGGTTATGTTGCACAATAGTATTTTTTTTTTTTTCCACTTTTCAGTCAAATGTTTATCACAAACTTCTGTCGCACACATATTTTTGAATATAACTTGCAAAATTAGTTCTTGGAACTTGCAGGCACTGCCTTCTGGCTAAGGCTACCTATTAGCTGCATGTTCGAATTTGCAGATGTGCTAATATAATTAGTTGGTGTGTCCTTTTGTTTTTAAGGGTCTGTTTTCTGTCAGTTTGAATTTAACTGCAAAATAGCTCCATCTTAAGCTTTTACTTAATATGCATCTATTTTCTCTGTAAGAAAAACTGCTTAGTAGTTTGGAAAGTTTCCAGAAACAGCTTTTGTGCACACCATGTACTGTATTTCCACAGTATGTTATTCTTAGAGTTCGTCATTTATCTTGGTGTTCGTATCTGCACAACTGAAGTGACTTACTGTTTGAGACATGATTCTGTTCTTTATTTTTCCTTATTTTAGATGGTAGAGTAGACTATTTACTGCTACTTTTACTGCATCTTTTCTTTTACAAGTGCTTTAGAGAGCTTCTCTGGTGTTCACTAGCTATCAGAGGTGACTCGAAATCATACTTGATTTGTGTTCATTTTTGCATCCTAAGTTGTACTGATAACAAAAGTGTGTGTGTGGGGGGGAGTTATTTGGGGAAAGGGGAGCATTTCTTTTTTTTCTTTCTACTCCTATAAAGCCTTATTCTAAAATACGGACTTTTTCAGATTCAAGTTTCACTACTAATAGTCATGCCTCATGTGGTTCAGATTACAACTTGAATTTTGCCAGAGTAAGTAGCTAGATAAGATTATTCCCTGTATCTGCCTATAAAAGTGGCATATAGTTGTATCTTTGATTATATCCAGAGTATGCTCTTTGAGTTGATCCAAAGCCTTGAATGCCTTTTATGTTGAATGGTTTTTTTTGTGAGACTGTTGCTAGAGAATGGCAATAGTTTAGGAAATAGTGGCTCTTTCAGATATTCAGTTCAATCACATATTTCTGACAGAAACCCAGAGATTTATCAGAAATTCAAAAATCTAGAAGTACGTTATTTAATGTTGACTACTCTCAATGTTCACAATAGTAATAGACATGCAGTAACTGCTGTGAGTTACCTTAATTCCTGTTCCCTAATGATTTTTCACTCTACTTTCCATTTCGCTTTGGTTCAATTTTGTTTGGTGAAAACTTTATTGAAGTTGAATGGTAAAGCTTGAATGCTAAAAGCGCTCAGCTTTTATAAATTTTGATCAGGAATAAGAAAAGCTACTCCTAGATACCTAGCAGGACTGTAGGGGAAGGACTGTTAGTCCTGGCAGTTTTGTTTTGCAAGATTTGAAAGTAGGTATAGATGAAATCCCTGCATGGCTGCGTAGCTACGTAGACAAATACAGGTAAAGGCCTGAGTCTTCCAGTGGTGAAGCTTCAAGAATGCATTATTCCTGTGAAGTAACCTGTGTGTTCTGCTAGGTGCAGGATTAGGCATTGTCTCTCTTAACTAAATATTGACTTGAAATTCACCATGTTTTGCAGGTTTCTGTTTTTAACTGTGTTTAGTGCTCTGTTTTTTCATTTCTCCTTCTGCAGTCGGTTTTTAAATTTCTTTGAAACGATATCAAAGTGCATTAGAAATAGGACCATTTACTTGACTGAGATATACCGTAACTTTAGATAGTTGCCTCGGGGGAGACAAACAAGTTTTCAAGAGTACTGGTCAAAGGTGTTTTGTCCTTACAGTTGACAGTATAATGGTTTTAAGTGTTTTAACTTAAGTCTGTTTATTTAGTATGCCTACACAATTGTATTGGCTTTTCAAAATTATTTAGATATCTGAAATGAATACTTAGTCATATGAACACTTGACATGACTACGCTCTCAATATGTCCCAGTATTTGATGTACTGGTATTTGTCTGTTTTATTTCAGGAATTTGCAGCGCTTACAAAGGAGTTAAATGTATGCAGGGAACAGCTGCTTGAAAGGGAAGAAGAAATTGCTGAACTGAAAGCAGAAAGAAATAATACACGGGTTAGTTCCTTGTCTTTATCTTTAAGCTTACCATTGTTAAAGTATGCAGCTGTGTGGAGAAAAGTACTGAACACTGACTTTGGAAGGATAAGTTATAGGTATTTTATTTTGTTTCCCCTTTCCGCCAATTGATATTTGCACATAAATCTCCCTGGTAGTGTGAATGTGTATGGATTCTAAGAAAGTCTGAAAGTTTATGCACGGTCCCAAATACTACTGTGCAGAATCAGTAGAAGGCTTAAGATAACACTGTTACCTGCCATTCTGCTCTCTTGTTGTGATGATTTTTTTGAAATCATGTGGCACTGAGGATCAGTGCATTAAAAGGGCAAGCTATAGTGATCTGCTCCAGCAGCTTACACAACTGCAGGCCAGACACTAGCTCTCCAGTCTAGATTACTTTCTATATGTATCCTTTTGACAAGCATGCAGTTCTCAGATTGATGGAGCTGAAAAGAGTTGGTTAAGTAGAGACCGTATTTAAAAGCTAGACTGAAGGAGAAGTAATTAGGAAATGTTTTAACTCTGATATTGCTTCTTATGTAGGTGAAATGTTTAAAAAAAAAAAGGATCCATATACTTGATATAACAGTCTTTGGCTGTTGATGTTTTAGGAGGCAAGTTTATTCGCAGCTATTCAGAACGGGAATAAACATTGTTCCTTTTTTGTTTCAGCTATTATTGGAACATTTGGAGTGTCTAGTCTCCAGGCATGAGCGATCTCTCAGAATGACTGTTGTAAAGAGACAAGCTCAGTCTCCAGCAGGAGTTTCTAGTGAAGTAGAAGTTCTCAAAGCACTAAAATCTTTATTTGAGCACCATAAAGCTCTTGATGAAAAGGTAATGAAATATGCTACCTAACATCTTTGCATCTTACCCCCTTTTGCTTTTGTGTGGAGCAAACAGTTGTTTGTACTAAAGCAGCAAACATCAGGTTCTCTGAATGAACTTTTTTCTGTGTGAGTATTGTGGCTTTGGATATAACTGCCCTCCCAAATTAAGATGCTGCACTGAAGCAAGGTGCTATAATTTTTCCCAGAACCCCACCAACAGTTCTGGTGTAAACCAAGCATGATTCAGGTGCAACATACTTCTTCTAGGACTATACACACTCACTTGCCCATATAATATCAGGATATAGCCTTTTGATAATGTAATAGAAGAAAACAGTGGACTGGAGAAAATAGGAAGGAAGGAATCTGCTCACACTGAGGTGTATAAAGTAAAGCTGAATTAAAGGAACTTTGACCTTTTGTTGTTCCTGGTGTTGGCATCAGACTATGCAAGTAGGTTAAGTTTAATGCGAATTTTGCTGTCAACTCATGGTCTGGCTAACAGCTTTTATGATTTTCTATAGCAAGTATTGCAAATTATTTTAAATAAAATTCAGTCTCCTCTTCCTTGTGTTTTAAAAAAAAACAAAACAAAACTTTTTTTATCTGCAGATCTTGTAAGTGCGCATCTATGCCTTTTGCCTTACATGAGGCTATGTAAATTTTGGATATGTCTAAATGTATATGTCATGATGAGATGATTTGCTTATGACTAAAAATAACTTCAGATAGGTTTTTAGGAGATGCAGGATTGTTCTAGAAAAATGTGTAGTGTCTGTTAAGTTGTTAGCCCTGAGTCAAGTTTCAGCAATTTTCTAAGTGTAATGGAAATAAAGCTTCATTTATTATCTGAAAGTACAAGGTGAAGTGGCTATACATGAAATTGATTTCTGTTTGATTTAAATGATTGCAAATGATTTGAAATTATTCTGTTTCAGGTAAGAGAGAGGTTACGAGTAGCACTTGAAAGATGTAGCTTATTGGAAGAAGAACTAGGTACTACCCATAAAGAGGTAGGTTCCTTTTAAAAACAAGTTTTCAGATATGCCTGAGCATGTGGATAGTATTTGCACATGCTAATGTATTTGGTTAAAGTTCATCTTCGTTGACTTCTGTATTTTTAATTGATACCAAATGGGATAAAGTTGGTTTTAACTTAGTCTGCTTTGGAAGAGCAGGAAAGAGCTTAAAAAAAAAAAAAAAGTTGCTGTGGCTTTATAATAAGAATTTTTGGAGGGTGATGATATAATATATTAAGTTTTTGACAGCCTGTACCATACTGTATTAATATATACCTTGCAGTGGAATTTGTTATATGCATATTTTATAAATGTATATTTTTATATATATATATAAAAATATAAACTTTTTT